TCGACAAACACTCAGTTAGAGAGACGAGGTGACAGCTGCCTGAAACAGACATAACCATTTCAGTCTCATCTTGCTCAAGGGTAAAGCGGCGTCGTATCACGCACGACTGATGACAAGAAAAGAACTCCTCGGTGGAAGACATGCGGTCAAGAGGCTATAAAATAGGAAAGAGGGCGGTTTTGGCCTGGATTACGCACAAGGGCTGATCTTATTTGCAGATTCAGCACCTCAAAACTCGCAAATTTGTAGAATAGCTAGTCAAAGCTGCGGAGGCAAACACTCGGGAATGTTTCGAAGCGAAACTGCGCTCTGACTACCGATGGCACACTATCGACCGTATATCCGGGCGAAACTCAGAAACAGAAACTCAGAAACTCCGTATATCCAAGCTCTGAAAAGTTCGATGAGAAACGTTCTAATTCGCGTGGAAGGTACACACATACTTCCAGGACTTTTCAACCCAGTCCCGAAAGTGCTTCATGATGACCGCGACTAAAGCGAAGACGATGACTGCTATTAATTCGATGAAGACCTACAGAGGTGATTTGAGAAGACAAAATCTGATCCGAGGTAAGAAGCACTTTAATCTCGATGATATTATGTGGCTTATTCCATATCGTTAGCTTGCGTGAAGTTAAGCTTACGCCAAAGCGCCCAAGCAATGGTAAGCTCGTATGACTATTTCCTGCTCAAGAAAGGTGATCAGAAAGACGGAAACAGCCACCAGGGCACCATTGTTTTTAACAACTTGGTAACACGTAGGTGGAGTGTTCAGATACATGACACTGAGAAATGGTAGAGAAAAACATTAAAGTCGAACAGTGTGGCCTTCGAGAGACAAGAAGCGTAGGCGAGGCGAGCTTTGCTCTCAGTCAGGTCTGCGAGAATGCTGCGAATTGGCAAAGGAGGCTGATACTTAACTGACGGAGACAAATATACTCAACTACAAAAGTGAAGCCCCTACCAGTACTCGCATCATCGATGAGCCATTATTTCACATTACCGTTCCGCGATTTATTCTTTACTCGTTCTGTGGTTAATATCTGCGTAGTGTTTTAGTATATGATCTTCAACTATATGTGCGCGAAAGTTTGTTACCATTTTCGAAGTCAGTTTAAACCAATTAACTTAACTGCTTGTTTTTTTCATGCATAAATCGCATTTTTCCTACTCACTTTGATGTAGCAAGCTGGAAGAAATCGCAGATTATCCCTTCCGGGATAATTAAGAAAATGGTCGTGGAGTGTTCACAACAGTGAAACCTGGCCTCTGCATGCAGAGAAAAGTTTTGGAATACCAATAAAGAGCTAACACCAAATTATGCCCACTGCCTGCAGGGCAATGATGGAATCGTAATGAAGCTGTGATCACGATGCAATGTTTGTATCAAACTCGCGTTGACTAATCCTATCCTCACAGTAGTAGGAGCGCGCGAGCCATTTCGTCGCTGCATAGAAATAGCAATAACACTGGTGTGGCTATAATATGCATTTGACTGTTAATCGTAGCTTGTTTTCGCATTTCATGTGGAGCATGGCCGACCCTGCATGGCAACTAATCATCCGTATGCTGAAGACATCCCTGGAATGAGTAGACCAACGTGGCAGTCTGTCATGCGAAAGTTAGGATTCGAATTCCTGACCGTTTTCTATGAACTAGTGATTCTCTGATTTCAGAAATCTTCCCTTAACGTGCGCTGGTGCAACCAGGTCAGACCTGGCAACAAGCAATGACTTTCTGGAAGATTAAACGCGCATCTTCTATTGTCGCATCAGCTTCAACGCTTATCAAACTTAAGGTCGTACGCGCATTGCATTATTCTCTGACGCTCTTGCATCTACCTCATAGCTGACTCCGCCTGCAGCACGAGACTAAACTTGTGCACTAAAATAATTACATTTTAAAGCATTGAAGTATCGCTTGATACAGGTAGTTAACGGCAGTGCTAAAGAGGGGAAGAACTCTTCCACGAGATCGAAACTTTCATTATTCATATATCAACAATCAGCGTTAATGTGTTGATATTCAGAATATGTTGCCTAGTTGAAGCGACGCTGGATTAAGAAAGGGGTTTTCTGGCTCCTTCGTTGGTCGCCAGCCATGGAAGATGAAAACGAGAAGGAAGCAATATTATCAAGTGCAGCGATATTTAGAACAGAAATAGAAGTGGCGCGAACACGTGTCTATCAAAGTGCAATGGTCACGTAAAAGTCACCAGTGGACTGGAGAACGGGGATTGCAATGCCCTTGTTTAAGACGAAAGATTATAAGGAGTGCTGTGATTGCCTGAAAATCCCCTTGCTTAGCCTTGGGGGAAAAGTCTATGCAAAGGTGAAAGCAGGTTTCGCACAACAGCGGTCATAGATAAAGAAAAAGTTACGGGACTTAGACTCAGGCTGAAGCCTCTCTTACTAGAATAGTCGCTCTACTCCAAATTGATCAGATATCGTGGGAGTTCGCTCATTTGGTTTGCATGCGCTTTGTAGATCTGGAGAAAGTCTATGATCCGATAACGTCCAATAAGCTATGGGTGTGCTTGAATACTTATGGGATGGATGGCCAATTGGTACGAGTCATCTAAGACACTATATGTTGACAGCAGGTGCTACGTCAGATTAAATGATGTTAAGTCGAGACCTTTCAGCGTTGGCACTGGCCTCCGCCAAGGCTGTGTCCTGTCCCCTCTCCTGTTTGTGTTGTACGTGGACAGAATAGTCAGGTGCAGCCAAGGCATTGAGTGTATTGCTGTAAGAGGTATTGAGACGAGAAGCTTGCCGTATGCAGACGACCCTATTTTGTTGGCATCTTCTGAAGCTGATCTACAGTGCTCCCTGGAAAGGTTCGCAGTCGAGCGCGACGTATCCGGCATGCTTGTGAACCAAATGATTCGCGATTTCTCGTTCCCCGTTATGCACGTAAGCGGAGGAGACGGAAACAGGTGACGAAGCACAAAGTTCGCGTATCTGAGGGTTGTACTGCCTGATAATGAAAATGGGAGGAAAACATCGATCGCTGGATTGGAATGGCCAGCGGCATTGTAGATGAATTAGCTCGAACTGAGTTGTAAAATGAAAGGTCGATTTTCGTTTCTACCCTGACCTATGGTCATGAACGGCGAACCGTTACTAATTACTGAACAACTGCGATCTTACTAAGAGCTGCTGAAACTGGATTCTTGAGACGAATTTCAAACCTCATGCATTTCGACAGAGTCCGGCGTTCATATATCCGTGAAAGCCTTAATGTGTGATAGGTGCTTCTCCAAACTGAGCAGTCACCGAGGCAATACTTTATGCATGCCTTTCGAATGCTTTTAGGTCAGTTGAAGCAGATACTACTTGTTCCACCGACCCGCCGGAGACCACGTAGACGGTCAAGAGTAGCCTTGGCCAAGTGCCTCGACGAACTCAGCTAGAGACTTAGGTTATTCTCTGCAGAATGTCCGACGCTGGCACAGTAGCAGCAACGTTGGAAACAGTATCTGACGCTGCTGCTTCGGCGACCCGAAAGGATAGGCGGCGCTCGAAACTGACTGACTGACCGATCTAGAACAGAAACACAAGTTTGCTTGAGTGGCTTCGTATAAAAACGAAAGTGCACGCTTCTTGAAGTGGTGCGACATTGAATGAAAGTACAATAAGCCGACCAAAGTTTTGAAACCTATCTGGCAGATTTTAATGGACGAAACGGTCGTTCACGGTTCACATGCAGCCTCTGCAGTTTTTAAGATATTAAAGATTACTTTGCTTATTCGTGTGTAAAGAAGCGATGATCGAATATCAGCTTTCAATTTTGCGGAGGCGAAGTTACAGCTATGTAACATGGCATTTAAGTCGGGCGTGTAGTCGATGGTGCAGAGCCTAAATTACGAAAACACGACAGAGACACAACCGCCAGTAAAATGAAGAATCATAAATGATTCAACAGCATGAACCGATGCCACCATTTGGAATGTGATAAAAGACAAGCATATGTTTTACCTGTCACTCTTTGCATCATCGCTAGCCACGCAATGGAGCAATGAACAGAGCTTCATAATATTTATGAATTATCAGTCAATTACTCAACGAAACCTCTTCATTGACATTTGGCCCACGATCTAGAAGCAAAACATCATTCCTATAAAAGACGCAGATCGACATAACAATTGCAACTCAGGCAGCTGATGAAGTGATCAGATTAAAATGACACTTCCTTGGCACAACAGCTCCAAAGTCAGTCATCATAAGCAAGCATTATTAACCTCGCGGAATACATACTACAGCATGTCGCTATTTACCTTAAATGCAAGCAAAAAAAACTTCTTTATTGCAGGTAGAT